GCCAATCATCCCAATCAACCCTTTGTGAAGTCTATTACTCGTTCGCTTCGTGAAGGGTTTTGGCCATTGCATGACGGTGAGTGGGAAGCGCACCTCAAAGAGCAGATCAAAGACAATTACTCTACTGAGGAGCGCGATCTCACTGAGCTGCGCAAACACCGTGATCAAGAAGTCGCTGCGGGTCGCTGGTCACCTGCGCTTCCAGAGGGCTTTAAGCTCCTTCCTGGTATGCGCCTGTCACCCATGTTCGTGGTGTGGCAGAAAGGTAAACCACGTGTCGTCATGGACCATACTGGCAATGGTCTTAATGAGGGCATTGCGAGAGAGGATGCAAAAGTGAAGTACGACGACATGCACTCCTTTGGGCAGGTACTGCATGACGTCCTTCAAACTCACCCTCACGAGGAAATCCTGCTCTTCAAGAGTGACATCTCGAAGGCATTCCTCAATCTCCCTGTTCATCTCATCTGGCAACTGCAGCAAGTTGTTATCGTTGACGGTCGCCATTATATTGTGCGCCGTCTCATCTTTGGAAGTCGTGCATCTCCATACTGCTGGTGCTCGTTCTCCGGTCTGGTTAACTGGATCGCTTGGGAACTTGACGTACTCGGCTTGCACGACTACATGGACGACTACTATGGCTGGGACACCAGTCGCAATCTAGTACTCTTTCATGGACAGCGACGTCCACATCGTCAAGTCCAGCTTCTTCTCTTGTGGGACTCTCTTGGCATTCCCTATGAGGACAAGAAGCAAGAGCACGGTCGTCAGCTGAAGATTATTGGTTTCTGGCTTGATGCCATCTATGGCTCCATTTCCCTCACTCCAGACTCCATCACAGACATGATCACTAGAATCGAGTCGTTCTTGTCTGATCTCAAACCTCCTCTCAAGGAATGGCTATCCTTGGGTGGTTATCTCAACTGGGCTTTGAATGTGCTGCCTTGGGCACGGCCAGCACTTACAGAGCTCTACCGCAAGATCAGCGGTAAAACCCTGCAGTACAAAGGCATTCCATTGAACCTTGAGGTTAGATCTGACCTCACTTGGTTTGTCAATGCATTGCGACACTGTATCGGAGTGCGCTTCGTCAATGCGCAGGCTTGGGACGATACAGAGGCCGATATGGTCTGTTGGACAGATGCTAGCAATCTGGGCCTTTCCTTTGTATATGCTGGAAATGGCTTTTGCTATCGACTCCGAACTACAACCGGAGTTGATACCTTCTTCAGAGAGCTGTTAGCTATCTTATGTGCTGTCCATCATGCCGCCTCTCGTCCCTATCCACCTCGTACGCTGTTGATTCATTCTGACAGCCTCGACTCCGTCTCAGTGTTCGATACTCTGGCTGCTTCTCAGTCAAGTCACAATGCTATCCTCCTTGCTATTGCAGACATTGTCATGCGTACAGGCATTGACGTACGTGTGAGGCACATCCGCGGGGTTGACAATGTGATGGCAGACATGTTGTCCCGCTTGCTGTTCTCTGACTTCCAGAAACAGTTTCCCTCCTACCGCATCCGCATTATGGAGCCACCTCGAGAGCTCCTGCCGGTGCGATGGAGAGATTGCTTTTAGAGGCATTGGGTGAGGGGAGACGCACTCGTCCCCCTCGCCCATCCATGGACTTGCAGAAATTAGATGAACTTGTCTTATACTTGCAGGCTCATGCTATTGAGACTTCTACACGTCTTAATTACTCTACTGGTGCCAGAGATTACGCTCACTTCTGTAAAACACATAACCTGTCTTTGGATCCTACTCCGGAGACCTTATCTCGTTACATTGCGTACACATCACAATTCATTGCTTCTGCTCCAAAATACTTGTCTGGCGCGAAACATTTCCTCAAAGAGTTCTATCCTCACTTTGCTGACGCTCGTGCATCTGCACTCGTCCAAGCTACTATCCGAGGTGCTAAGAAGGTGAGAGCGGATCCTATACATAGGAAACCTCCACTTCGCATCTATCACCTTCAACTCTTTGTCAATATCGCAAATCAGACTCAGAAGTACGATGATCTTCTTTTTGCCACCATCATGTCATGTGCCTTCTATGCTGTTCACCGGATGGGAGAACTGGTGCAGCCCAATCAGAAGAAGCTTCGTGATTGGAAGAAGATCATCAAGCGATCCAGTCTCAAATTTGAACCTGGATACGCTGGCTATCGCTTGCCTTATCATAAAAGCGATCCATTCTATCAGGGCACTGATATACTGTTTACTACTCAGAAAGAGGCTGATCCAATTGCTCTTCTGAAACGGTATGTCTTGCGCAGAGATAAGCTGCATGGTGCTCGTGCGGCACTCTTCATACGTGACAACGGCGTGGTACCAACTCGATCCTGGTTTGAATCCAAATTCTTTGCGCTGGTGAGTAAAGAGTTTGGTGGTCATTCAGTCCGTTCTGGAGGCATAACACACTACGCATCTCTGGGACTGGCTGAATCTATTCTCCAAGCCTTAGGTCGTTGGTCATCATCTGCTTGGAAGATCTATATACGCGACCATCCAGCAGTGCGTGCCGCTCAGCAGTTAGCAGCTCAAAAGAAATCCTCCTATTAAAACCTTCCTCATCTTGCGTTTCGTAAACATCTTTCTTCACCTCCATCCACCCCTCCACTACACACATGCATAGCACAGTAGGCACTTTACGATACGCTTAATTGATGAGGCCCTTGGGGTCCGATTTGGCCTAACTCCGTGTGATCTGAAAGCATAGGTCGATGTAAATGCGGATTCCAAGGGTAGGGAGCATTTTCAGAGGCCTCTGCATGCCCCACACCTCTCCATACCCCTATACCTAACTCCCTGCTCCAGGGAGTCCACTCAGTTAGCTTAACCGAGTCAAACCGAGTCAAATCATCATTTAGTCAAAAATCTGCATTGTTTGACTAAATGCTGACTCTCTGCTGCTATTACTGCAGCTACTCCATCCTCTGAGCTCTTCCTAGACTTGTCTAGCCTGTGTCTGGTGTTGTAGTAACAACAGAGGCCACTCACAGGGCGCCCTAGAAGGTTTAGGCAAAAGTTCCCACGCTCTGCCTTCTGCCTCTTACCATCACCTTCTCCCAGAGGCAAGCAGTTCGTGATCCCTCCAGTCCTCCTGCTCAGGACTGATGCCATACCCCTCTAGAGCACTGTCTGAAGCCGCCTAGCCAGCCCCAAAACCAGTCCAGACAGGCCCAAAGTGTCCAATTTGTGGGAAATTCGCACTTTTGCTCTCCCAGGCAAGCAGCACTTGCTCTACCCAGTCCTCTTGCTCAGGACTGATGCATTGGCACCCTAGAAGTCTATTGGAACCATTTGCCACAGCCCCAGAGCCCTACAGCTCTTCCTGCTCCCTCTGCTTCCAGTATGTGCCAATGTCTCATATCCAGCTCTTCAGAGCTGATGCCTTTTGTGCCCAGATACCCATTCCTTTTCAAGGACTCCTTATCAAGGACACTTCTGTGGGCTATCTGGTCACAGGTGCGCTCTCTGCACTGTCTCACTCCCCTCCAGCTAATCTGTGTTATCTGGTCACAGTTAGCTCCGCTTTTTTGCGTCCCCTCCCACCTCTCCCACTGTAATTACAGTAACTACATTTCATGTATTATCTACCATGTACTGTAAGGCACTTTACGATACGCTTAATTGATGAGGCCCTTGGGGTCCGATTTGGCCTAACTCCGTGTGATCTGAAAGCATAGGCCCCCCTTCACCACCTCCATCTCCTCCTCCACCCCGTCCTCGCCCTAAGCCCCGTGCCTCAAAGGAACCAGCTGCAGTCAATCGTCCACTCACTCCAGTGCCGGAGGCTGATGAGAATGGTGACGCTGCTCCCAATCTGGAATCTGGGGCCTCAGATGATCCCAGATATAGTCGAAGATAACGACACTTTCATCGACGATTTGGGCGTCAATATGGACATCGACGAGTTCGACCTGGACTACTCGACGAAGCGGAACGGGAGGAATGATGAGGACGAGGCTATATTTGAGGAGTTCGCATCGCCTGCGAGAAAACGGCAGCGCACCAATGACTCGCAGCCACGCCAAGCGAAGCCTGTCGAGGTTACTGTCGTTATTCCCCAGCGCCAACCTCGCAAAACACTCTGCATTCCACCAATGGGGGATAAGCGGATTCGGAAGGCCTTGCCTGCAGCTAAGCCGCCGTCGACTCGAGCCGCCAGTGTGGCGCCAGATCCTCCTCCGTTCAACCCTTTCGATGAAAAGCAGTGGACTGACTGGTTTTCGCTCTGTCATCGCCAGTTCGAATGCATCGGCAGCCCGGAGTGGTATGATTTGCTCAATATGTGGACTCGAGTGGAAGGCTTGGCCCAGTTTCGGTTGGGGACAGTCATTTTGGGCGGCCACTCGGACTTGAGGCCAATGGCTCTCACGGAGTGGGTAAACACAAAGAGGAAACAACCGATTGTTATCGAGAAGAAGAACCTGAAGAGTTTCGCGTCGGAGTTTTGGGCCTGGTGGATCGATCTTCAGCCCGAGTGGAGGGACGTTGCCGGTCTCCAGGGACCTCTAACTTCAACACATCGCTCGGCGCCAAATGGACGTAGTTGGGGAGTGTTGTCTGACGCGAAGGGTAGGAACGGGATGGTGTCCGTAATCGCTTGCTTGGCCTGGTGGAGTGTCCACCATGTCGTGGAGTCGGGTCCTGCAGCCCTCAGAGCGCAGTGGCGCGACGCGGTGGAGGATGTTAGATATGTCCTGAATGGTGTTCTTGAAGAGGCTCTCCTCGCGTCGTGAGGACATGCCGTGGTACGACACGATTATTTATTCTAAGCTCACCCGACTATCCACTAGATGCCGTTACTTACTCTAGACTTAGATTTATATATAGACTTACATTAGATGTCGACTTTAGATACATAGACTACAATTTACGAGTGATGTCCGACCTTATTAGTTGGATGACTTGCATTGAAGATGAGATTTGACAAGTTCAAGGGTTTAAGTCATGAGAACCCAATTACAGGGCTTCGCCTAGGTGTTAGATTAAGCCTACTTGGCTCAGTTGGTTTGAGCATCACGATCGCAAGTCGTGACGATGTGGGTTCAACTCCCACAGTAGGCACTCAACCACTAGAGCATTTCTGCACTTGTTTTTTTTTTTTGCTACAAAGTCGCACAGTAAACTTCCGGGTAGGGTGGCACTGTAAACCTCTCAGAGGTGTTAATAACGGTATTGATACCGGCTCTCCAGGAGGCTCTAGTTTTGAAACCGTTACTAATGGTTTCGATACCGGCATGTGCTTTGCTCCACGTGATGTGGCGCAGCGGCCCACTGCCCTGATCCCGCCTCTGTGCTACCAATTCTTGCTTGTCCTCAGTGCCAGTGCGCCATCATGTGAATAGTCACGTGCTGATATCGAAACCATTCCATACCTTGACTGAGATTTTGATTCTATATCAATATCATTAATAACCACAGTAAACCCAAGGTATATCAAAACCTAGGGTTTACTGCGCCACTCTACCTTTGGAGGCTGTCAGTAACAGTATCAATTAAGTAAACTACAAAAAAACCTATTTGGCAAATAACTGTCAGTTAGAAAAGGCCTGTTTGGCTAATAGTAGTCAATCAAAAAAGGAAGAAAGACTTATTTGACAAATAGCTATCAGTTGGGGGAAACAAAAAAAAATAATAAAAAAGCTTATTTGCCAAATGGATGTCGTCTATAACTTGGAAAAATTTGACAAATAAGTGTCGACAGATAGCCTGTCCATGGAGAGACTGTTTGGAAAATATCTTTGTAACGGGTTGCAGGCCTATTTGACAAAAAAGGTATTTATTGCCTGGCATACCAGCCATCGAGGACACATCAATCACGGCGAGAGACAACTGTCAAAATAGCGGTGGCGGCACCAGTCAGTCATCACGACGACATTGTCTAGCCAAGCATGACAACGGCGACAACGAGCCAGCAAGGACAAAGCCAATCATTACCAAGTGATGACAATGACAGCCACTACTATACAAGGACCACCATCGAGCAAGGATGACATTGACCGATTAGCAAGGAACTAGGATGACACTAGCCATTACACAAGGATGGCAACCCTCAGCAAGAACGACGACGGAGCCAGCGACAACAAAAGCAACCGTAGTATCAACTGAGGATGACAAAGGCTCGATGTAAATGCGGATTCCAAGGGTAGGGAGCATTTTCAGAGGCCTCTGCATGCCCCACACCTCTCCATACCCCTATACCTAACTCCCTGCTCCAGGGAGTCCACTCAGTTGGCTTAACCGAGTCAAACCGAGTCAAATCATCATTTAGTCAAAAATCTGCATTGTTTGACTAAATGCTGACTCTCTGCTACTACTACTGCAGCTACTCCATCCTCTGAGCTCTTCCTAGACTTGTCTAGCCTGTGTCTGGTGTTGTAGTAACAACAGAGGCCACTCACAGGGCGCCCTAGAAGGTTTAGGCAAAAGTTCCCACGCTCTGCCTTCTGCCTCTTACCATCACCTTCTCCCAGAGGCAAGCAGTTCGTGATCCCTCCAGTCCTCTTGCTCAGGACTGATGCCATACCCCTCTAGAGCACTGTCTGAAGCCGCCTAGCCAGCCCCAAAACCAGTCCAGACAGGCCCAAAGTGTCCAATTTGTGGGAAATTCGCACTTTTGCTCTCCCAGGCAAGCAGCACTTGCTCTACCCAGTCCTCTTGCTCAGGACTGATGCATTGGCACCCTAGAAGTCTATTGGAACCATTTGCCACAGCCCCAGAGCCCTACAGCTCTTCCTGCTCCCTCTGCTTCCAGTATGTGCCAATGTCTCATATCCAGCTCTTCAGAGCTGATGCCTTTTGTGCCCAGATACCCATTCCTTTTCAAGGACTCCTTATCAAGGACACTTCTGTGGGCTATCTGGTCACAGGTGCGCTCTCTGCACTGTCTCACTCCCCTCCAGCTAATCTGTGTTATCTGGTCACAGTTAGCTCCGCTTTTTTTGCGTCCTTTCTTTGCGGTTTCACCCCACATCTCTCTCCCAAGCGGCTCACCACCGCTTATTCGAGCTCAACACTCCGTTCAGCGTGCTATACCTCCCTGGGCTCGGTGTCCTCCTTGTACTTCCTTGTCATCGTCAATCAGTGGTACAGCTCAACCTGTGCTTGCGACCGAGTTCAACACCTGGTCGTACAGCGTGTGCCTGACTCCCTCACAAGGAGTGTAAATCAGGGCGCTGATTGTGAGACGAGTTCGCTCTCCGAGTGCGCCGTAACACGTTCGCTCGTTGAGTGTTCGATAGGCTTGGTTAAGGATCGGTTGGCATCTTGTTCAGGCGCTCTCTATTCGCTCATTACCTGGGTGTTCTCTCTGCGAGAGCATTTGCGTTCTGAGGAGTAGACTAGCCAAAAGGCAGCAAGAGGGCGAGAAGCCTGCGCAGACAGCCTTAGGTTGCACATTCTGCTGAGAACGTTCCTGAATCAGGAAGCGGACTATGTCCTCGGACGATGATCTCAATGTTATCGATGAAACCCCTTCTCCCTCTCGCTCCCGCTCTGCGACACGCTCCTACGTCGCTCCTTCTCCCTCTCCACCACGTACCGCTACGCACTCTGTTGCAGACGAATCTGATGCGGATCACCGCGAAGAGGTTCGTCAACGTGCAGAGCAACTGGAGCAGCTCGTCGCAGACTTTGCTGATGGTACCATACCGTCCTACAACGAGTTCCTGCGACTCGCTCGGGAGACTGGTGCCTCAGCCGGAGAACTGGACGACTATGTCGAACAAGTCGTTCAGATCATTGCCGCTCGAGAGGAGCACCACGACGGATCGGCTCCTCCTGATCCAGACCTCGCAGCGCAGCAAGCTGAGCAACAAGCTGCGCTTAAGCGCGCTGTTGAGGAGGCTGCATGGGCCGCGCTTGGTGCGCGTCTCGATGCAGCTGCTGGAAAGCGTGCGCCCGAGCCTGGTCCCGTCGCTGGACCGACCTCGGCTGCGCTGCTCTCCAAATTACTTGGAGCGGAGCCTACTCCGTCAGGCATCTCTGCCTCAGTCCTCTCCTCCGCTCCGCATCTCGCGCAGTTGGCCTCACCAACCAACCTCTCTCCACACCTCCAAGAGACTCAGCGTCTCCGTCGGCTCTTTACCAATGATAAGGATGTCGACGCTATCATCAATGTGTGTCAGACGCAGTCACTCCACGACCCGTTTGCACGCTCTCTCTGGCGCTCAATCGTGCTGGACCAGTACGTGGATTTTGAGAAACTCTATGCCTCGATCCACTCTGGCACGAATCAGCAAGAGGACACGAAGGACTTTGCTGGGGGCTTTGTGCTCATCCGCAAGGACCACGTCTCTGCGCGCCGAGCTCTCACTCAAGAGTCCGAGTGGACACGCGTCTTTGATGCGTATGCCACCGGTGTTGGGCTTATCTACCCTCACCGCAAGGACGAACTCCAGGGCTATCGCGTACTCATTGTGGAACTATTCCGCGCCACGCCCTCGAATCCAGCGTTCCCTATTCGCTGTGATAAGGAGACTCGCACTCGCTATGCTAACTCTCCTTTCAATCTCAATGACCGCAATGCGCTCCAGTTACCGCTTCTTACAGAGATGTTACGCACCTCTGAGGCGGCTAATCCACGCAAGCGGTCTTCTGATTCTAGCAGCTCGCAGCCTGCGACACGTCGTCGCGTCATCTGCCAGAATTGGAATCTGGGCAAATGCCCATCTCCGTGCCCGGGTAGCCGTGTACACGGTACTTGCAGTGAGTGCGGAGGAAAGCACACCGCCAAAAGCCACCCAGCCTGCCTCGTCCTCCTCGAAGCCAAGCGAGCTGTCAGTCGTGCAGGACCGAGTTCAGGCGGCAATGTCGAAGCCTAAATCGTTGAAGCGTAAATCCGATGCTGTACCACCACCTCCACGCTTTAAGCGTGGCTATGTATTTACTACGAATGTACCATCACAATCAAAAGCTCCTCCGAGCATTTCTTCCACTTATACTGCTCCTCCACTTCCTTTACCTCCTGAACATATTCGCAACGATCCTACCATTCAGCAGTCTCTTGCTGCTGTTGCCAACTATATCGAGGTCAGCACACCAATCAATGTTGACCGCTTTGAGCGACTTCTGGCCAATCATCCCAATCAACCCTTTGTGAAGTCTATTACTCGTTCGCTTCGTGAAGGGTTTTGGCCATTGCATGACGGTGAGTGGGAAGCGCACCTCAAAGAGCAGATCAAAGACAATTACTCTACTGAGGAGCGCGATCTCACTGAGCTGCGCAAACACCGTGATCAAGAAGTCGCTGCGGGTCGCTGGTCACCTGCGCTTCCAGAGGGCTTTAAGCTCCTTCCTGGTATGCGCCTGTCACCCATGTTCGTGGTGTGGCAGAAAGGTAAACCACGTGTCGTCATGGACCATACTGGCAATGGTCTTAATGAGGGCATTGCGAGAGAGGATGCAAAAGTGAAGTACGACGACATGCACTCCTTTGGGCAGGTACTGCATGACGTCCTTCAAACTCACCCTCACGAGGAAATCCTGCTCTTCAAGAGTGACATCTCGAAGGCATTCCTCAATCTCCCTGTTCATCCCATCTGGCAACTGCAGCAGGTTGTCATTGTTGACGGTCGCCATTATATTGTGCGCCATCTCATCTTTGGAAGTCGTGCATCTCCATACTGCTGGTGCTCGTTCTCCGGTCTGGTTAACTGGATCGCTTGGGAACTTGACGTACTCGGCTTGCACGACTACATGGACGACTACTACGGCTGGGACACCAGTCGCAATCTAGTACTCTTTCATGGACAGCGACGTCCACATCGTCAAGTCCAGCTTCTTCTCTTGTGGGACTCTCTTGGCATTCCCTATGAGGACAAGAAGCAAGAGCACGGTCGTCAGCTGAAGATTATTGGTTTCTGGCTTGATGCCATCTATGGCTCCATTTCCCTCACTCCAGACTCCATCACAGACATGATCACTAGAATCGAGTCGTTCTTGTCTGATCTCAAACCTCCTCTCAAGGAATGGCTATCCTTGGGTGGTTATCTCAACTGGGCTTTGAATGTGCTGCCTTGGGCACGGCCAGCACTTACAGAGCTCTACCGCAAGATCAGCGGTAA